GTCAACATGAAGACTGACTTTAAGGCCCAGTTGGCCCGCTGCCAAAAGCTTCTGGACGGAGGGGCTTGGGGTCAGAATTCATGCAGTGAGATCTACATTCATGGCTTGGGCCTGACCATCAACCATGTCATCAGCATTGCCCTACAGCTTCAGGCAGGCAGCTTCGGGTCCTTGCAGGTGGCTGCCAATACCTCCACCGTGGAGCTTGTCGATGAGCTGGAACCAGAGACTGATACACGAGAGCCACTGATCCGCATCTGCAACAACTCGGCCATCCACATCCGGGTCTTCAGGGTTGCACCCAAGTAATGGAAATGAGGATGGCCACCTTATCCACCCACCCCCACATAAGTAGCCTCAGCTGTGGCTCTTCTTGTACTGAGTACAGTCACGGACCTTCTACCAGAGCCACGTAAGAAAAGCCTGTCCCCTTACAGCCCAGAGGACTCTGAACTGCGAGGGAAAGTATTGTCTCTTGTTGGGCCCAAGCAATGGGTCTTCCCGAGTCTTTGTGGTCTGTGACCATTGTCCTAGACAATAAAAACTACCAAGTTGTGTTAGTATGCAGCCACCCCCCCCAAAAAAAATTATCATTATAGCCATCCTAGTGAGTGTGAAGCAAGTGTGTGGGTTTGAGTTTCCTTAATGCCCAAAGGTGATGAATGTCTTCATGTGCTTGTTGGCCACTTTGTATATCTTCTTGGCTAAAATGTGTATTCTGATTTTTTGCCCATTTTTTATATGGTTGCCTTTTGTAGTACAGTTCTAAGAGTTCTTTATGTATTTTGGATATTATTCCCTTATAAAATATGTGGATTAGTATTTTCTCCCATTCCTTAAATTGTATTTTCACATTTTTTATAATCCCCTTTGACACACACAAGTGTTTAATTTTGAGTAGTCTAATTTATTTTTTTCTTTTGTTGCTTGTGATTTTGGTGTTGAATCTAAGAATCCTCAGACAAATCTGAGATCATGAAGATCTGCCCCCTATGCTTTCTTCTAAGAATTTTGTAATGTTAGCTCTCTCATCAATTCTGTGTTCATTTTTGTATATGGGCTGAGGTAGGGGTCCATCTTTATTTTTTTGCATGTGGACATCCAGTTGTCTCTTCACCATGTCTTAAAAAACTATTCTTTCCATACTGAACAGCTTTGGCATCCTTCTCAAAAATCAATTGTCCATAGATATTTGATTTCTGGAATCTCCATCCCACTCCACTGGTCTATCCTTATGCCAATACCATACTGCCCCGGTATCATCCTTATTAAGATATATATAACTGACATAATTATAAGATACTTAAAGTGCATATTGTGGTATATATACATACATAAACATTGTGAAATCATTCCTACCATCTAATTGACACATCCATCACCTATTTTTT